TGGCCTGGCAGCTTTTTGAGTTGCTGCAGTTTCTTGCGCGCCGCTGGCTCGCTAACCAGAATTGAGGCAATATCAGTGCTCGAAAAACAAAGCAATGAATGTATGTCCGCCACCTGATGTGGATTAAAATTGCCACACTGACTGACAACTGTTGAACCAAGGCTACAGTCCCCATGTTGGCACGGCACATGGTGATTCTAGCGAGCGACACTTATGAGGTGGGAAAGGAATGGGAAAAGTACCAGAGGTTCATGGTATGGATGGATGTCGATTTTCTGCCAGTATGAAACCTGATCAGCGGTTCTTGGAACTGTCAGCTATGAAGACATTCTTTTATACGGATGATCGTGGAGGATTCTTTACGCTGGCTTGATAGCTGAAAATAAAAGAGAGGGCAACATTAGACTCTCTTCATATACCTATACGCACTATTGACAACACGGGAAGATTACACATTCTAACGCTCTCAATATTGAAGTCTAGACATCCATCGTATTCGCCCTATGGTCCACGCGGTAATGATGGGAGCTCCAGATAATCAACGTAGGAGTGAACTATATATATAATAAATAGCGGCACAGACAACTATACATTGTGTAACATTATAATAATGGACGATGGTGTTTGGGAAAGCAGATAAGATGTCAAATAACATAGTATACCTAATAGGGTGTTTCTTGTTCAAGTCGTCAATATGCTTGCTTTTCACGTGGACTCTCTAGCCTCAGTCCTCGCCAAGCTTTGACAGTGGTATTACAAGCACACTTTCCTGTATCATACACTGATATCGGAGGCTCGTTAGCTGCATAAACCTCCACCTGCTGATCTCTCGCCCACATACGAAGTTATGCCAACTCGAATCTGCTTCGGAAAAGACACCCACATACGTCTCTACCCCCTGCCTCAGCGAAAAAGCAAGCGATAGATGGGATATCACATCTGTCGCACTACTAGGTATGACATGGCTTTGACAACGCATGAGCGGAATGTTCCTTTCCCTAATGAGGCTGGCAACCTATTTCTTGTAGCTTCGGAATGTGGTTATCTTTGCGGTGCGTCGAATCAGTAGTCATTGTAGCCCCTACCTAGATGCCGTTAGTTTCGTAATCCAGACATTGTCATTTTTTCACACCATACTCACAACATACCCAGAATCCAACCCAAAGGGGGGCACACGCTTCGCATGCATATCCAGCCAGGCGAAGGAGGAGACACGTGGTTCCCTGAACTATGCCACGCGTTTGCTCTCCAGCGCATATGTTGTGACAGCCCAGCCAGCTGGGTTGGTATTAGTATAGCATAATATATCGGGATCACGTCTCGTCGTCAGACAAGTTTGGATGGGCCACCTTGAATAGTAGGCTGAAACAGGACAGATGGAGGAGGTTGTGTTGGTGGCATGTCGTGAAGATATCCATGCTAATAATCTGCCTTAGTCCTCCGTAGAAGGCCGTAGCCGTGGCTTCGGTGGAGGTCTCAACGTGCCGCCAACAGAAGTCGAGTCTTCGTCAGGCACGGTACTTGCCACGCTCTCGTCAAGCTGGGCCTCAAGGTCAGAATTCTTCATCGCATCCTCGCTGAGACCCATCTCATGCTCCTCGATTCGCGGGAACATCCCCATACGCGGACTCAGAGTCTCCGACATGGGATACCCTGGCCTCACACCCGATCCGGGGCGAGCAAGAGATCGCCGTGAACTCCTGCCGGTGCCGGAACTCCTCCGACTTCTTGCCGTGACCTGTCGTAGTGTCGGATCGCTCATACACGAGCTTGGCGCCAAGAAACCGGGGAAGAAATGGACGATCAGAGGCTTTAACGTCATCATGCATGCGCAGGAGATGGCGGTGTTGACTTCGACGGTTGTCCAAAAATGGAGCGAGGCGCCCGAGTAGCCTGGGTCAGTCGGTGGTGTCGTCTCGACCTCAACCAACTTGACCAACCGCATGATTGAGACGAAGCATACACTATGACTTGTCGTTAGTTTGCTCTCAACCACATGACGGTGCCAGTGAGTATAGCACTTACAAGAACCCCAGCGCAAATACCCCCATGACCGCCATTTTCTGCCTGCGAGGCAATCGAAGGGTCGAGATGACCGGCATCGGCAGTAAGACGATAACAACATCGGTGGTGATGTGCAGACCCGCGTTCGCCCACCACAGGTTCGGCGGCTGGCAGTAGACCGGCCGTACGAATACCAGCCACCACTTCCAGAAAGCCTCGAGGGGGATGCAAGCCGTGCATACGGAAGCGACAAGCCAGACTCCGATGGCTAGGACCCCGAAGAGTACGACGCGGATGGCCCGCTTCACCCAGCCCGGGTAGGTGAATATGCGTTTGTACAGCAGCAGGATGGAGATCTTGGTGAAGGTCAGGCTCAGCGAGTAGAACAGGATCCCGTACCATGATGCCTATGCGACGAGTCAATACCCAGTACTAGTCCTATCGAGACGGAAATGTGCGGTAACATACCCTCGTCATCAGAGGGATTTGCATAGGATCCATCTGCCAAGTATGCTTCCCGGCGCCACGAACCGCTTGCTCGATGGAGCTTGCAGTAACCCCAGCGGCGCACAATGCCGAGAAGGCGATACACCAGTCCGAAGGCCCAAAGATCTTTCTAATGCGTGTTCGAGTGTATAGCCGGAGCACCACCAATATTAAAGCGATTACCCATGTGATGGTAGCACACGCAATTATGTCTGGCTGCAAGGACCGCCTCGTGTCGTTGGGAATAGGACCCCATATCGTCGTGTTCGGCGCCAGAGTGAAGTTCCCATTGCCCCCGGCAGTAAAGTTGCCCCCAGCCGTAAAGTTACCTCCCAGAGTGAAGTTGCCGGGACTTGACGGAGCCACACTGGTCGTCATTTCGTTTATGTGAAGGAGGTGTTACTGATATGGAGGTCCGACAAACTCTTACGGATTTCATTGACGCTTAGGGTCCATAGTCAATGAGTCGAATGACGTTGTCGTATGTATGTTAGCTGTTATTGAGCAAACCTCAAGAAAAGAAGGTCCAGACTGTGTGATCTGGAGGGACGACAAGCTTTAATCAACACGGTCAAGCATCTAGCCTCCAAGAAACCTGGGGTTGACACGACGCTAGACCGATGCCAAGCTGCCGCCCCCTGGACATCTGCCACTTTTGCCGGCAGCAAATCCCAGGAAATGGTCGGGTCCATTACGCTATCTTAATCTACCGTCAACGTCAAGAAGGGGTACCGGACCAGTGGGGCCGACGGTAGCGACCGTGATCTCGGCCACAGAGCGACGTCCCGTCGACGGAGTGGGCAAGGCATCCCTGGGCGTCGAGAGAGGACCGTCGTGGTTGGCCCTGCACACCGAATTAAAGTTGCAACGACAGGCACCTAAGCGGCGGAGGCTACGGAGCTTATCTGCATCCCAGTGCGGGGAAATGGCACGCTTGCAAGGGGTCCGTGGTGTTTTCTCGGTCATTTGGTGGTTAACATTGGATCCCGCTGGCGGGAAAGTTTGGGTCAGCCTGTCAGAGACCTCCGACTGCGACATTACAAGAAAACTTGGAGGGTCTGAAAACTGCACAACCTGCTTTTGCCAAAAGCAAGATCCTTGCTCGGCACTTGGCTCGATCGCTGATGCATTGATGCCTGCTAGGGTCGAAGATCAAGGACAACAGAGATAGAGCCGTACAACCGCCCAGCAGCAGCCTTGATGTACACGTCAGGTCCATACAAGCAAAGAGCCAAGGACGCACCACCTCCAGTATTGCCAGAGCGTAATTAGGGGAGCTAAGGCACCATAAAAAGCGTATCTTCATTATTGTTTGTTTTGATCAACGGATTCCACCCCTCAGAAGGTGATGCTATCAGGCGCTCCATCCTGATCTTCCACATTTGAAGCATTATGGTACTAAGGTAGATCAGATCCGCTAAACAAGTCTCAACTTCTAGTCAGAGTCACAAAGGCACATGCCATGACAACTCTTTGGCAGCGTGCCTGCTTGTTTCTGGACTTATCTAAGTTGTCTCGCATACATGTGAATCCTTCGTCGGTTCCAGAAGCTGTGTGCTAGAACGCAAGACCATGGAGCTAGCCAGGAAGGGTGCTATGTTATATCATGACCGGCTTTGATGTAGAGCGGAAGAGTCCCGATCAGCAGCCAGTTTGACGAGAAACAGATGCTGTTCAAACTCGTAGCGTCATAGACGCGATAGTAAGATCCGTGGGCCAACCCATAGTCGTCAGCCATATCGTACACGGCAACTGATTGTTCCCATGTTTATGCTGCAAACGAGTAATTCTCATAGAGCACCAGATACTTCCAATTGAAGGCGAGACAATATTTCATCCATCTAACTCATCATCATTTTTCCTTGGGTCATCATGGGATAGGAGCTGCGGACTTGTATCCCGTAACACGTCATCTCGAGCATTTGACATTGAAAAGATATAAATAGCATGATGTGATTACCATGTAGTCTTTACAAGCCCTAAGCGAATGTTAATAATAGCCAGGTTTTGACGTACCAAATTCCGGAAATGCATAAATGTAAAGACTTCTAGTTATAGGTAAATACACTATTCTACTCGCCAACCGATGCTCTGGAGGCGGATACGGTGGAGCTTACCACTCAGCATATAACTGTAAGATGAAGCCCTGTCCTGTGGTAGGAGTTGAGCTATTTGGCTCCAGATCGTATATATTGCGGGCGTATCAAAAGGATAGCACTGTGCTTCGGGGAAAGGCTCTAGAGCATGTAGAGTTCTTGCAGCCAGCTATACCAATAGCTGTCATGAGTTCTGGTCGCTAGAATACCCCTCCGGCGGCGAATGCTCGCCGCATACATGTTCAAGATAAAATAAATCTCCCGGGAAGTGAAGTTCACGCGCAGCTGAGACAGATTCCGTACCGGCTGCCCGCAGAAGTGGCTTGTTCTGTCCACTCAGGGTTAACTTGTCCACGGGTCGCTACTTCCGAATATGAACAAGAACGAGCCACCGCACAAACAATCAACAGCAACTCCATCGTAGTGTAGTGGTTTAGCATGTCGGGTTTTCAGATCCCTCACGATCAAGATATCCCGAAGACCCGGGTTCAAACCCCGGCGATGGAATCTTTTTGCCAAATACTGTCGACAAGACATGTCTTCCAGCTTTGGCAGGTCGAACCCAGGATAAATACGAACACACAGCATGTAGATGACAGACAAGCAACGGTTTGTGAACAATCTGACGTCTAGATACTTGATTAGAAACACGTCACATGAACCTCATCTGTGAAGGACGAATGGAAGTATCTTGGGCTTTCACGTCCGTGCTTCTTCTATCTACGACTATATCTCCTTCAAAGCTTTGGGCCAAGGAAACACGACCTTGGTGAGCGGACATCCGTCGAAAAAGCACATTCCGAGGAGCCATCTGCGGACGCGCAGACGCGGCACCCCGCCGCGGGCGGAAGGGTTCTCCAGGTCAACACCTAGCGAGACGTGGTGGTCGAGGTCGTTTGCGTCGTGTTCCTCAGACCCCGGATCACCTTGCCACACCGAAGTGAAGACGAAGTCCGGCACATGTGAATCTGCCCGGCCGCTAGCCTCGTCAGACAACACGAATACGGCACGGTAAGGCGATGACTGCCCTCTTGAATCCCAGAGAGCGCCCAGCCTGAGCTTCTTGCCTGCGTCGATGGCCGCCGCCAGCTCGGTAGCCATGCGGTGGAGATATTTGCTGGTAAACGAGGCAGAGCCTCCCCGGGCGTCGGCCTCGAGGTACTTGTCAATCTCCTTGGCTAGCAAAGAATAGCCAAGGTCGTTTAGTTTGATTACGAGCTGCAGCAGGCATTTTCTCTGCCACAGTGTAAGGTGGCCGTCTGGTTCGTCGATCCACGGCAGTCTCCGCGGGAACCTCGCGGTGTCGATAATGCGACCTAGTTTCCACAGATGGCCCTTGGTAGCGATACCACCCGCTGTCAACTGCACTGCGGTCAATCGGCAGCCTTTGACGAACGTGAGACGCCGGGCTTCTTCCTCGGGCGCGTTGAAAGCCCTGAAAGCATATGTATCGAGGAATTCTGATGGCGTCAGCATATTGGCCGGTCTCCTGTTGTGGTGGCCGTTGTCTAGAATTTCGCCATTGAGAACACACATGGCGAGGACTGACAAACTAAGGCTTCGACCTTGCCTTTGGAGCGCCTCGACATCCAACCGCAATGCGTACTTGCAGCAGTTGGCAAGGATAGCGAGTCGATCCCATGGTTCCGACAAACCACGGGCCTCGATGTTCGCCATCACAGTCGGTGTCATGGCATCAGACGTGCCTAGCATGAGCGAATACCTCCCGGCGGCCCGGAGCACGTTGTCTATCTTGCCTACGTCAGCTGGTAGCAGCAGGTTGCCTGCCTTCCTGAGCGCCAGGCACAGGCGCGTTGCTTCCTCCGAGAAGTGGACCGAATCCACGCACAGTTCACCTGGTATTCTGCCGAAAACCGTGTACCGCAACTTCTGAAGCTCCAGCCCTGGATCGTGGCGGATCAGTAGCTGCATCCACGTTCCGCCGCGATAGTTCTCCTGAAATGTCCAGGCACGCGTCCACCAGCGATCCTGCGTTATGTCGTTGAGCAGACCCAGGGCTCTCCGCGCCACGTGAAAGCTAGTCGCTACCGGGCGCCGCAGCTCGGAGTCGTCATTTATGATGTCCTCCGAGAGGATTGTTCCTAGGAGATGTAGCTCATCTTCGTCCTTGAGCGGTCGGCCCAACAAGGCGACGGGGTAATAGCTGAGTTGGTAGACGAGGTCCATGGCTTGCATGGCGTCGCGCTTCTGGGTGCATCTTGTGTGGTGGCAATGGGCACCGTCGCACGCGCTTTGGTGTATACAGTGGGCATCGATCCAGAGCAAGTCGACCTTAGCGTGACTCATGTAGCGGAGAATGCGGTCGAAGACGCAGTTCCGGACAGTCGATGGTTGGAGACCGCTGGAGTCCCAGTCCTCGACAAGGTAATGGCCGAATTCTTCGCTTTCGTGCTCTGAGGCTTTGCAGGTGTACGACAGCGCAACGTACTTATGCTGGCTGGAGGCATCGATACAGCGTCGACGAAGTTGCGTGCCGTTTGGCCGTAGGCACTCGAGCTCGCTGACATAAGAGAGAAACTTGCTATGCGCTTGTTGATTGCCCTCGCTGCCTATCTCGACTAGCTGTGAGACAATGGATGCGTTGTGTCGCAAGGCAAGCGTCGAAAGTGACAGGTTTTTGTCGTCGTCCATTACGGCTGCCTCAAAACGAGGGAGCACACTATTGAGGAGACTATGCAATATACTGTACTATTTACTGAGCAAATTAGTCTGTGAGGTCACGCAGCATAGCCACCCAAGATATTTAAATTGTTAGAGATTTACTGGACTTGTCGAATCCGAGCTGCCACAATCCTGCTATGATACGTCTAGCTGTGTCGTCACCAAGTCTAGGCTAAAGCGATCTGCTGAGAACAACGAAGGTCATCGATCGGGCTGGCAGTAGTTTGGAGGAGTATGGCTTCTTGGGGGACTAAGCTATGGTTCGAATTCGAGATATATATGATCAACTGAGCTAATGAGTCGTTAAATGTACAGAGGTCGATAACCATAATCACACGGGCGTCTTATACTGATCTGATCCATACGGTATGCCAGACGTACAGTGATGTCGGAGAGCAGACGTTGTTTCTAGCTTTCGCCAAGCTGAGCCGGCACCTGGAATGAGCGTCGGGTTAGTGACTGTTCCTTTTGGTGGTCATGTGATTGGTGAAGCTAAATTACGTAGCCCGAACTTCATCCAGGATTTTTCCATCGCAAAGAAACAACCGTACAAACCCGTGACTCACTCCATTCTGGGTATGCGGAGGACCCTAAACTTTCGCTGCCCGACGCTCTTCTTCACGTCACAGCCCTGTCTTGTCCGGACAGCATACACCGTCACGAAGCCAACTGCGATCCTTGCGCGGAGCAAACTGCGACGCCTCAGTTCCACAGCACAGACGAGGGGCATTATGGAGAACGGCCAGACCAACCCGCCCACTGCGGTGAAGGCGGACAAGCCCAAGAAAGAGAAGGAGAGTAAAGGCAATAATAACCAGGTCAAGATCCCCAAGGGAACGAGGGATTGGGTCGGTGCCGACATCCAGATCCGCGACAAGATCTTCAAGGTCGCCGGCGACATCTTCGCCCGTCACGGCGGCACACAGCTTGACACCCCCGTCTTCGAGCTGAAGCACATCCTTGCCGGCAAGTATGGCGAAGACTCGAAACTCATCTACGACCTGGCCGACCAGGGAGGAGAGATGTGCGCCCTGCGCTACGATCTCACAGTCCCCTTCGCGCGGTGGCTCGGCATGACGAGCACCCAGCAAATCAAGCGCTACCACATTGCCAAGGTCTACCGGAGAGATCAGCCGGTATGTCGCGCAAATAATGGCGAACTATGATAGGGGGAAACAACAATGCTAACAGAATGCAGGCAGTAGCTCGAGGCCGGATGCGGGAATTCTACCAATGCGACTTCGACATCGCCGGCGAGTACGACGCAATGATCCCCGACGCCGAGATCCTCCGGATAATGGTCGAGGTGTTCGAGGGCGTGGGGCTGGGAAAGGACGTCAGCATCAAGCTCAACCACCGCAAGATCCTCGACGGCATGTTCGCCGTGTGCGGCGTCCCGGCCGACAAGACGCGTTCCATCAGCTCGGCCGTCGACAAGCTCGACAAGCTGCCGTGGGAGGAGGTCAAGAAGGAGATGCTGGAGAAGGGCCTGGAGTCCAAGGTTGCGGACAGGATTGGTGTCTACACACAGCACAGCGGGAGCTTAAAAGAGATCATCTCCTACATCAAGGACAGCGCGGAGATGTGCGCGAATGAGCAGGTTCAGCAAGGGTTGAACGACATGGACTTGCTGCTCAGTTATTTGGAAGCATTTGAGGTCGCGGACAAGGTCACTTTTGACCTTGCGCTAGCCCGTGGTCTGGACTACTACACCGGCCTGATTTACGAGGCTGTTATCGAGCTGCCGGGAGAAAAGTCCACCGAGACACGGATCGGCAGCATCGCCGCCGGCGGCCGGTACGACAACCTGGTCGGCATGTACGGCAGACGGAAGATTCCGTGTATCGGTGTGTCGTTCGGCGTGGACCGGATCTTCACCATCCTCAAGCAGCGCCACGAGGACCAAAAGATACGCGCGCGGAGTGTAGACGTCTACATCATGGCCTTTGGCGGGAAGAATGGCCTCCTCATAGATCGGATGAAGATTGCCGATGCGTTGTGGAAAGCTGGCATCAGCGCCGAGTTTTCGGCGAAGGTGAAGCCCAAGCTGCCGCAGCAGTTCAAGGCTGCCGAGACCGCGGGCGTTCCTCTTGCCGTCATTCTAGGCGAGGATGAGCTAGCGGCCGGGAAGGTCCGCGTCAAGACGTTGGGCCTACCGGACGACCACCCCGAGAAGGAGGGCAGGCTGGTGAAGAAGGAGGACATGGTTGCCGAGGTTCACAGGCTACTGGCGAGCGAGTCGCAGCCCCAGCCACCAGCAGTACCGACGCTGACGAACGAAGTCGGGGAAATCAAGCTGGACGACAAGGCTTAGAGCTGGCCTTTGCTAGACGACATTCTGGCAGCTGGCGTGTGGTATATGCATCATATCAATGTCAAAGCTGGTTGAAATTCGGGCGACGGGAGTGCATCCTCCGTTTTCTGCTCTAACGGCAGGATTTCCTTGTACATGCCTGGTTTAAGAAAAGCGAGAGGGTACCTCAAAAAGTCCTTAGAGACCACGCATAGAAATAGAGCTCACGGTTGTGAAGACCATTTGCGTGCCGAGCACATCCAGCATCAAATCCCCAAGTCGTTCCCCGTATTCCGCTCTGAGGATTCAATCCGTAAGTGACTGTGCGACTAGGGATACCATGGTGCTTATGTCCAACACGATGCGTAAATGTTGCCTTTTGATTTTGACAATTGTTAGGCTTCAACCTTGTAGGTCGAATGTATCCACGCCCTCATTCCTCATTTATGGTAATGTTTACACAGTATGCCAGCGTCCATTCAGGAACAACTGCAGAGTCACCGTACACGTCTACCATCACTGCGCCAACCTT